AGTTATAAATGCCCAAAAACTCTTCTTATTCATAACTAACATAGCTATAAATGCCCCAAGACTCTCCTTATTCCCTCCAGCTATAATTGCCCTCATGTGATTAATTGTTCAATTATTTCCCCCCCCCCCAGTTGATTGTTGACCTTTCCTCTTCCTGGCATTAATTGGGGCCTATCACATAGCTGGTCTTACAATTGTTTTATAGAATTTTCCTTTTAATCTAAGTGGTATTCACATATATCATAAAACTCCAAATGCACCCCTCCATTTTGCCCCTCTTGCTCCAATTCAATGGATGACATCCTCCTCACTTCCTCAGTCTCTCCCTTGCTATGAAATATCAAACCAAGGTACCAAAAAATGTCACATTGAGTTACCTCTTGGTCTCCAATCCAAGTGCACCCTGATTTGCAGTCCCATTATTATTAAATTTGCATATCATATGTTTTGTTTTAGTTCCACTTATTTTAAACTCTCTTGTTTCTAAGGTATTTGTCCACAAACTTAAATTTACATTTAATCCTTTATTAGTTTCATCAATTAAAACAATGTCATCAACAAACAACATGCACCATGGGACCTCCTCCTGAATATGTTTAGTCAATTTATCTATGATCAGTGCAAATAAACAAGGGCCAAGTACTGAACCTTGGTGAAGACATCATAACAGTAAAATCTGATGTCTCTCCCACAGGTGTTCTAAGATTGGTTGTTGCACCCTCATGGAATTCCTTAATTAGGTTTATATACTTATTTGGAATTCCGTTCTTTTCCAATACCCATCATATTATATCTCTCTAGGTACTCTATCACATGCTTTCTATAGATCAATGAACACCAATATAAAGATCTAATTTTTCCTCTCTGAACTTTTCTATCAATTGTCACAAAAGAAAGATAGCTTCTATGATTGATCTCCCAATCTTATAGATATTGGTAATGAAAGCAAAGGGTGGTTACTGAAGTTGGGATAGAATGAAAAATGATGTCAGGAATGGGATAAATCTTGGAATAAAAATGTGTAAAAGAAGTCCAAACTTCTGGGAATTAAAAAGAGAAAACAGTATGAGATTGGGAGGGGAAATAGAATAAGTTTCTAGGAGCATGTGTGACATTAAGAGGATAGCTTCTGCCATTGACAATAAGAAATAAAGGGGCTGTCGTGGGGAATAATTAAGTGGCAGTGCCTGGGACAGACAAATTAGACTCTTAATAGAATTATAGAAACATGAACAATTGGGAGGTGGAGGGTTAGAGGACATATTTACCACCATATGCTCATTAAAAATCAATTTCTCTATCCTTTCTGCTTGTGGATCAAACTATTTGATTGGTATAGGAGAATGGATGCAAATACACCATACTGCATCAGAAAGCAGAGTAGAATATAAATCACTTGCATCCTCACTTTCTTTTTTTAGGAAAAGGTAAACTATAACTGTATTGATGAATGAAGGGGAAAATCTCGAAGCAGTAAGTACAGTAACTGTCAAGGAAAGAGAATGCATAATATTTCAGCTGTTGTGGTAATTACAAGAATAGAACATGCCTCACATTCTGGGGCTACCCCCATTTTTCCTTGTGTTTATACAAGCTAGCCCAAAAGAAATGCTCCCTTGACACCCCCTTGCTTACCTAAAGTATCTGCCATTGGATTTTCTGATCCATTGACCCATTTGAAAGCGCCTCAACTTCTCTTGCTAGCCTCCTAATCTCCCTCAATTCCTGCCTGTACATCCAAGGGCCCTCATAATTATTCACCATCCAACCCCCTACTAGCATGGGGTTTCCTTCAACCTCTATTTCAAGTATACATGGGTTTGGCTGGGTGTACATGCATGCATAGGTGCACACATATTTATTTATAGGGATGTACATGTATCCATATGTATATGGCAGAAGATGACTCATCCCACCGGGGGTGAAGACAGATGAGTATTAAAGCAAATACAAGCCATTAGTAGGGGTGTTCAAATTCAGCTACCAAACCAAATAAGCTGATTCAGTTCGATTCAGTTTTAAATTTTAAGAAACTTCGGTTTTCAGTTCAATTTGGCAAAAAAAATCAACCAAATAAACCAATAATACATGTGTATTGATATATTAATATAATATTATTTATTTATTAATATATATATTCATAAAAATATAATACACTATTTTTTTTTGCTAATGGGTCCAAACTGAATTGAATTTGGTTCGGTTCGGTTATGACATGTAGTTCAGTTCGGTTCATTAGAATGAATAAACCAAAATGTCAGTTATGCCATTGTTACTTAAGTGATAGAGTTTGTACATTTTAATCCTTTTCTTTCATTCCACATCACTAGTTAGTAGTTTGCACCAACCATATACCATCTTTTGAAAAGGAGGTTTTTCCCCTTTTTGGAGCAATGAATTCTGTTTACCTCAAACTCATGCACGTAAATTCATAAAATTGTATATAAAGTAGTTGAACAATATACAATTCCATTTTTTGGGGTGGGGAAAGATTAATTACCTGATAACATAATGTGGGGGCCACCATGAAATATGCCAAACTCTTGAAGCTGACATTATAAGAACAATCCACATTCGAAAAGTTGAGTGAAACATCACCCTAACATCAAAAGCAAACTTCTTTAAGAGATTTCTTCCTACACATTAACGAGAGAGAAGCTTTTGTTCTGATGCTAGATAAAAGAAAATAAAAAACAATGTTGAGTTGAAAGAAATGTTACCCAGAAAGACACAGCAGAGTTGCAGAATGCAAAATAACCATATATGGCAACATGAAAACTAATTCTCCTTTAATGACCTTTGGAGAAATTGGTCAGAAGTAGCGAGGTGTTCACCCCTAAAGGACAAATCAATTACAAGCTGGTCTCCTCCATCTGAAGGCTCACTGAATTTGAACTTTGACGGAAGTAGCATGAGTAATCCAGGATTATCCGGCATGGGGGGTGCTTTGAGAAATGAGAAGGGAGAGATTTCGTTGCTCTACTCAGGTCCCTTAGGAATTGGGGACTCCATTAGGGCAGAGCTATTAGCTGTTGTACAAGGGGTGCAATTTGCAAACCAGCTGGAGGTACAACACCTAATAATCGAAAGGGATTCCAAAGTGGTGGTGGGTTGGTTGAAAAATCCTGAAGAGGCTATGTGGCATTACAAGAATGAAATGAAAAAATTCAGTTGGTTGACAAGGAATATGTTGGTAATTGTACAATGGGTGGGGAGATCAGCAAATACTTTGTCAGATGTGTTAGCCAAGCAAGGGGTAAATAGGGAAGAATTGTTTTGGGCTCAGCTGTGATTCCTGTTTTTCTTTCCTAGTTTACTTGTAAGATTCAAGGAGGGGCTGCAGCTCACGCCTCTCCCTGGGATGTTCTATGAATTCCAGATATTTCCTAACTCCAACTGTTACCAACAAAAGTAATCTTTACAATTTATTGAAACTTTAAATTTTATAATTTTGAATTGACACGTTACATGATATGCATTATATCAAAGAAAGGGAGTGAATCCCATGGTACCTTAGCATCAGGCCTGGTAAGTGCCCTGATATCATGGTTTGTATGTGCATAAGATACCAATTTTAACCACACAATGCTAGCAAAAAACATTAATGTGATACCAGATTGAACAGCAGAATCACACCTGTGTGAAAATCAGTTTACTATAAGTATATAATGATAAGAAAAAACAACAAAAATAATAAAACAGAACATAAAAGAAAGAACACATAAAACTGACCTGAGAATCACATATATTGGATATATGATTGAAGCAGTAGTAGTTAACACATGAAGAAGAACAACAACCTGAAGGAAATGGAAATCAGCTTCTTAGTGAACAATGCATCAACTCTGAAAAAGAAGTCTTAGAAACCTTGTGACACCCTATTATGTAACCCAATCTCGCTGATGCCAATTAAGAAAAGCAACTAAAATTTTGAATACCAAATTAAGAAGTGTCTTATGGTTAAGCATTAAGATGCACTAAGTTTTTCAGATTGACCAAGTCATATGTAGCAACAAGAGTTATTTGGAATTTAAAGATAGAGCATTAGAAATCCATGGTGAGGTGAGAAAGCTTTGGATAGGCCTTGCCTACCTGTATGGTAGCTAATACTGAACCATTTACCTGCCTAGCACTAGTGGGTGATAATATTACCAAATTCCATAATATCAAAGTACCTACTATTACCAGTACATCTGGATTCCTCAAGTTAAGGATCATGGATGCACATTTTTCCTCTAAGTAGTTCAAACTGATCTTTGGCTGCTACACATCTTTTTCCTCTTCAATTCATATTTTAAAAAGCCTCCAGTAAGACGGTCAGAATTCATGCAAAGAACAGATTTTAGTTTGGGCTCTATTCAAGGAAATGCCCAACATACGGACAGAACTAATTGCTGAAGAAATAAAATATGTTTTAGGGAATTCCAAAGCAGTAGCCAACCCCATATAGTTGGGATAAGCCAACCCCAAAGGAGCACAGTACAAAGTGCAATTTCAGAATTCAGACTACAAAAAATATCTCTATAAATGAATAACAGATAGTCTTCATGATGTTTATTAAACGGTAATAATAAAGCACATAGAGAAAATGAATGATATAAATGTCACACAATCACTTACTAGTTCAGAGATAAACCTGTGTTCTGCCAACTTTTCAACCACGAATGCAGCAAGTGCAAAAATCGGCAGAGTCAGACTGCAAATTTGAAATCGAAAGTATAACATATCTCATGTCAGAGAAGCATTGCACTTGGATTAGGTGAATCAACAATGATAGTTGGAGAGAAATTACCAGCACATAAGAAGTGGCCAATCACTTAGTGATTTTGAACTGAACCAAAAACCAGACCTCATTAACAAACCATACTGCAGACAGAAATTAATGATAAGACATCCAAGTTTAGAGGCCCAAAAGAACAGCATCACCTCAAGAAAGACATGCTTATATGAAGAAGGAAAGGGGAAAACAAAGGGAAAGACCATGTCAAAATTGCAAATGTTTTCCTAATAGAATAACATTGTGAGGTGAAAGGGGGAAAACCTTCATTAGGTTCTCAATGATAAGTCTGCTGTTAACAGCAACAAGCACCACGATACAGAGATTGAAGAGACCTGCATGGCTCTGTTGCAAAATGTCAAATAAGAATCAGCAAGTGGATAAAGGAAATTTTTCCTCTAAGAATTGGTATATTTGTCTAAATATAAACTGATTCAACAGCAGAATTGGTGCTCAGTTGCTTCTAAATCACACAATTGCATGTGATTACCTAGTATAAATGTGATGTTAATTCATGAACCGTTTCACCAAATACTTGTACAAATTCAAGATGATTTAAAAGATACATAAAAGCATCAATTTCTCATAGCAATTGTCTCAACAGTAAGTGCAATACAGTTAAATGTTTGTAGTTAAGATGGTAAAAGGTTTCACACCCACATAAGCCACAATATCATTCCTAAAACGTCATTACCATGATATGAAAAGTAACCCCTTGGTCATATAAAATGGAACATTTACCTCTCACAACTTCAAAATGTATAGGTGGAACAGAGCTGCTTATGAAGAGCATAAGTAACCACATAATGAGCTAGTACTAGTAGTTAGCGGTTCAACTGATTATGATTTTGCAACGAATATAATTAGTTCCCGGGTTCAAACCAAAAAAAAAAAAAAAAAAACTAACAAAACCATTTTACCCTTAATATATGGTATATACACGTTTTATACTAGCAGCATGTATTATATTTTGTTTCAGCAAGAAGATACGAACTGAGTTCGTAGCCCTTCCGCACATGCCATTAACCACTTTAAATGTAAAGTACCTTTGGTACTCATAAAAAAACTGAATTAAGTAAGAAAAACTGGAAATGTGTAAAGGGAGAAGGAAATCATCAAAAATAAATATAAATACAGATAGAAGATCTTGCCCTTTCGTTGAGGAAAAGGCATATTCTATCTTTGAATTATGAGACTATGAGAGAAATCCAAAATCCATAAGGAACATATGTGCAAGAAAATAAAGAGAGAGAACACAGAACATGGATACCGTTAAACTTCTAGGGGAAATACCAAAACACTATTGGAGAGTAAACCTTATTCAGAGAACCAGGCATGGTTGCTTAAGCTATGTACGAGTTTCTTTTTTTTTTTCAATAAACGGGAATTCTAGAAGGAAAAGGCGCGTCCCCCTATTGGAGAATAAACCTTCAAGCCCCAATCGATCCATGAACGTAAAAAGTCATTAAACTCAGGCCCGCACGGAATACTGAAGGAAAAAAGCGAGATTCTGTGCAGATGTTTAACTAAACACAAGCTCCAAAAGCAACACTAACCTGTTTGAAAATGGCGTCAGAACTGAGAGGACTCTCCTTTACTCTATGATGTGCCGGAGTAGAAGCTCGATAGGCAAATTTGACGACAACATTCGGCCCGTGTCTTCGATCTTCTCCGTTACTCGACGAATTTGCCTCATCCTTCCTACCATCATCGTCCTTCCCAATCCGATTTACTTCCTCATCCGAGGTCGTCACGGTACCGGAATCAGTGGAGGATTCCTTGACCAGGCTATCAATCTCAGAAACGTAGGTCTTGGAAAACGAATCAGAGGCAGCAGTTTTAAGAGTGTTGGCGGTTGTTCTCCTTCGAACAGAGAATTTAATATCCGATTCGCATTGGAGGGTCGATTTCTCATCGAGGTTATCAGGCGAGCTCGGAGTCGCCATTGAAGGGCTTAGGTGAGTTGCGAGAGAGGAAAGATACTTCGCATGCAGAGACAGTGAGACACGATTTTTCGAGCAAAGTGCCTTTTTGCCTTAATGCAATGTCGATTTATGGAGGAGGAGGATTCGCGGTTAGACGGTACCAGTCAAAGCTCTTCCGGTATCGTACCTTTACCGTGGGAGGATGGGGGAAATGCTTCAGTAATCAAAGCTCTCGTATAGTCGTCGTGTACTTTGCCCTATAGACATAGTGGGACCTACGAAAAGACATGCCGCTATCAGTAAAATCGGACATGCCTTTCCATGGTCCCACCTTTTCCACTTTCTTTTTCAGTTTCGGTAACAAGTTGTCAAGTCCCCACATTGTACGTTGGGAGATGAGGAAGAAATCAGGTGTAAGGTGTTGCACAAACTTACGAACTCAACAATGCATGTTACGGTGGAGAAATCATCATTTTCAGCCCGGCCCGGAAATTTTCGGCTTGAGCCAGTGTTTTTGTGTCCAATCCCGGCCCGTGCATATTTACATATATATGCCCTATTTTTAAATATATAATATAATTATTTCATTTTATGTTTTATATTTGAGAAATTGCCTAAAATTTATCATAAATTTTCAGCATTTCTCTTAACTTTTCAAAACGTTCAGGTATACTCAATTCATTTTGTAATATATCATAATTACCCCTCCTATTATTCGCCCAAAACCCATTTTTCAATTTCCTTATAAACGTTTTCAACGAGTAGAAATCTTTTATATATAAAGAAATTGAATGATTAAGGAAATTTAAGTCCAAGGTTCAAAATATCAATATGCCTGATAATCCCGGTAAGGGTGTATTGGGCGTTTCAATACTTATTTTTTTACTTTTTTTTATTTTTTTTCAAAACTAATTCAGGGGAACCGGTCTAGGATCCCTCCATCCCCTGAATTGGTCAGACCCCCAATACACCCACTGTATGGGCATATCGGAAGGGTCCCAGAATGATACGTATCGGTCAATACGGGCCGATACGTAACAATACTTTGAACCTTGTTTAAGTCATAAAAATATGTTTAATATGGTTGACTCGCCATTTAAAGGCAGCTTGGTCATGAAAAATGTAGTTATTCTGATGTAGACAACTTCTGTCAATGAATACTAAGGTGCTCTAATGGATGGTGAGTTTCAAAACAAAAACTCACCGTCACCGACATGGAGTTCCCTRGATATTTTGAAAAGTTGTGGTAAACTTAAGAAAAATACTAAAAAATCATGCTAAATTCTAGACAATTTCCTTTTATATTTTATATTTTGTATATAAATGTTATAATATGACAATAGTCATATATAATATTTTGCATTATATAATGTGATGAGGGCTAATCTTCCCTTCCATCACATATACATGGTGATACAAACGCATTATGACACTTCAACAACACAAGTGTAAGGACCTCATTTTATGGCACCTTGTCAGCTTGGCCTACGAGGCTACGAGGCCTAAGTACAATGAATTCGAAGCATGCGACCGATTTGGCACACAATGGTTTCGACATGTTCATCCTACCCAAGTTATTCGCGACSTAAGAGACCTATATGACCTCAGCACACCTCCAACTTACATGACGAGCTAGCTATCCATTATCTGCAAAAAGGGTTGAATTCGTGACTTGCCACCAAACAGGAAAACAATTCCATTTTGTGGTTGTTTTTAAAATTTTGTATATTATTTATTGCTCTTATTTTTTTTAACATAATTAAGTTGTGCATAAAATTTTGTAATTATTTTTTTATTTTGAAAGGAGTTTATATGTAAACTATGCCATCATGGTTTGACTTATGGTTAAATTGATTACTTGCCACCTCAATGGAAGAACAATTTTGCTTTTGGGTTAGTTTAAATATATGAGTTTTGTATTGTTGGAAGTATTGGATTATATCTCATCATCATCACCATCCAAACCTTAACCCAACGATATGGGACCACCACATGAATTCTATTTCACACTTCCATATCCATTGTGAAATAATGAGCACTTAAATCATTTCTTAATATTTCAATCATACCCTTTTTGGTCTACCCCTGCACCTCAAGCCTCATTGGATTACATAAAAAAGCATTGTATCCCGGTCTTATTAATATAATTGATCCATGGGAAAAATATATAAAATAAATTATTTAATGAAATAAAATGAGAATTGATATTTTAAGTATAAGATAATGATAGGATATTGAATAAGGTGAAAAGTATTAGTTCAATTACATATTTTTACGTCTCAAAATTAGAGAGGGAGCAAATTCAAAAATAGGAATATTTTAATTAAAGAATAAAAGTTTCACAAACTTCTTTAAATGATAAGGGGCATTCTACACCATGACTGCTTTTCTTTTCATTTATTTTTGGAATTGCCACGTCAACAAAGAAAACTAAAAAACGTGGTATTGAACTTTTTTTTTTTGTTTTGAAAAGTAAAAAAATAAGTCTGTTCTATTTATGCTGTTTTCAAACCATCAAAAATAATGGTTTTTAAAACAAAAAAACATTACTTAGAAATTATATAATTTTATGGAACAAGATATTAAATTAAATAATCAATTGAAAACATGTATTTTAATATATTCCAATAGCATGTTTTCTGTGTTTTTTTTTTTTGAAAACAAAAAAAAACACATATACAACAATAAGATGTTTTATGTGATTTATTTTAGGAACCAATTTATTTTAAAACAAAATAGTTTTGATTTGTTTTTAAAACTGACAAGAGAAAACAATTCAAATGGCAGAACACCCCATATGAAATATTTAGACAATTGCCTTTTATAAACGTTAACCTTAATGTTACATTCTATTAAAAAATACTTCACAAAAACCAAGGTAATATTTTTAATTTTGGTAATGGAAAATAAAGGCAAGAATTCACAAGAACATCTCCCGATGGAAGACATAGATGTTCATGATAGGCCGTTGCAAGGGCTATGATGTCCAATTCAATGAGGAAATCCAAACTCGGGCCATACTCCCATTCATCTCAAATTGAATCATTGAAAAGTGGGGGAGACAAAAGCTTTTCTTTTGAAGGAAATTGAGAGCAAGGAGGAAAGTTTTGCTGTCAACAACTTGCCCGTGTTTATTTGAAGGTAAATTATTTTGGAGAAGTATAGACAGGTCCAATGCAGATTTCTGATTTCCAATGAAAAGCTATAAACATTTTCCCAAATTATTTTTGCCTGATTAGTTAGCAAAGTTAATTATAGAATCTTGTCATGTCACAATATCCATTCATGAGCCCAAGCCCTTTAATATTGATGTAAGTGTGGGCTAACATTTATCCAATGTTTAAAAACTGACCTGGAGGCCACACCATTTTTGCCTCTAGGTCACGAGTCATCAGTTCGATCGGTTCAGATCGTTTTACATCATCATATATATGTATTAAGTTTATTTATTTATATGCATATGTATATATGTATAAATATATATTTTATCAATAAATAATGTATAAATATGTTTTAGATATGTTATATGTATTTTTATATTTAATCTATATTTTTTAACTTAGTTTTTAATTTTTTATTTATAAAAATATTAAAAATTGTAATTTGAGGCAAAAAAAATGTTTTTTTTTTCTTTTGCGAAAATAGCAAGGCAAGGTGCCTACAACACATTGGGACGCATAAATATTGAAAAGTTACCCAAAATAAAAATCACCCCAATCGGACATCAGAGTGCAAAGTTATGGCCTCTGAAAGTTTGCATACATTGAGTATGCAACCCACAACCCAGTGATCGGTCGAACGACTCAATGGTTGAACTGGCCGAGTTGAATGGTTTTTGACCGTCTAACGGGTCTTGACTGAACTAGACCCGAAATCTTGTCTAGGTGACAGTTCAACCGACCGGGTCAACGGTGGGTTGAAAACACTGCACTTATAAATATTTTGTTTGAAATTATCCACCTTGTCATCATCATCATCATCCATGCTTTATCCTAATTATATGGGGTCAATTACATAAAGCCCATTTTGCCAATTTGTTACATTTAAAGCCATAGTCATTATCAAATTATTGGTGCTTAAATCATTTTTTACTACTTATATTCATGTCCTTTTTCATCTACCCCTATCTTTTCTAGTAGCCCCTTCTACTTATAACAAATCACTTTTAATTAGAGTTGTTGGTGGTTGTCTCCAACACACACACACACATTTTATCACTTATTAGAGTTATTCCTATATTTTTACAGATGGCTTCATTCTTGAACATATACTTCCTAGTTTTTCTATGGATCCATCTCAGCATTCACATTTCTGCCACACTCACTTCTTGAACGAGTTCAAATCAGCCCCCCACAACGTCCCACAACACATCTCCACCATGTATTGGAAACATCTCTCGATGATAATATCCAAAATGATGATGTCATCATTAGGAGATGTTCCCAATACATGGTGGGGATGTGTTTTGAGGGGCTGATTTGGTCTCTTAAACATATTGTTTATTGATTTCCCACCATTTTGCTCTATACAAAATAGCTCGCCTTACAACTACTTTATAGAATTTCCATTCTTTAACTTAAATGGTATTCTCCTATCATGCAAAAGTTAAAATGCACCCCTTCATTTTGCCTAGTTTGCTCTAATTCTTTTAGTGACATCCTCTTCAATCTCGCTCTTGCTATAAACTATTGAACCAAGATACCAAAATTGGTCACATTGAATTATTTTCGGAATACTAAATGTATCCTCATTACACTCCTATTATTATTAAATTTATATGTCATATACTCTATTTTAATCATACTCATTTTAAAACCTCTTAGGGCATTTGTCCATTAACTTAAATTTGCATTTAACCCTCCAATAGTTTAATCAATTAAGACTATTGTCCACAACAATATTTTGTTGAAAATGTTTTTTAAAAATAAACATTGATACATTATAAGAATTACATGCTTATAATTTCAACAAATTCTTTTACACTAACGAGGACCAGCATTGGGATGCATTGATTTGGGCCAAACCCCGATAAACCAATGTCCATCATAAGGATGGAAATATTGGGGATTGAATGGGTTAAGGCCCCACAATGCTGAATTTAAATACATTAGTAACAAACTAATGGGTRGTTCAGTGCCATCACTGGCACATTGTATCAAATATATGTCATTTGCTGAGACCTTCAACTATTTGGTTGAA